TCCGGGCGCTGCGTGACTACGGGGAGGAGGAGGCAGGACGGGGCCTGTCCCCAGGGGCGGGGAGGCCGCACCCTCGTTTCTGTGCAGTGACAGCGTCAGGCCCACCGCGGGCTCAGCGGTGGCGGGAGACTGGCCTGTGGGGCTGAGATGTGACCGAAGAGGAGACTCACTTGAGCTCCATTTGACAAATTCCCCGCAGAGAGCGGCTGGCACAGACCTGCAGGGACCAGCAGGTGGCCTGGGTCTAATCGTCGCATTCGAGGCCCCGGACCCACGGCCAGAAATGAGGCTGGCGTGTGCCCGGGCCAGGTCTCAAGCGGGACGGTCCCTAGGGAAAGCCCTGGAAATGTGAGGAACTGCACAAAGATTGCAAGTAAAGACAATCATCACCCTCTCAGCCCGCCGACGGGGAGGAGTGCGTGCCATCCCAGGTTCTGGCGAGCCTTCGCGAGGAGACGCGTGGGCCGCGCTCCATCTGTAACTCCCCCTTCTCTGCTGGGTTTGCAGTTCCACTCAATTCTACGTTAACTTGCAACACATCACACATTCAGTATTTTTAAAATGTCTACTCTAGCGCAGCTGGTGTGGCTCAGTGGTTGAGTGTTGACCCAGGCACCCAGAGGCCAGTGGTTCATTTCCAGGTCAGGGCACATGTCTGGGTTGCGAGCTCAGTCCCCAGTAGGGGGCGGGCAAGAGGCAGCCATTGGTGATGATTCTCTCTCATCGATATTTCTATCTCTCTCTTCCTCTCCCTTCCTCTTTCTAAAAATCAATAAAACATATTTTAAAAAATTTTTTCTAATCTAGCCTCAGAAAAATCTAAAGAATTTTCATAATGTCAAATTTAAAAAATGAGAAAAACGAAGAGGCAGTAGTTGGGAACACTGGAAGGTAAGAGCATTGGGAAAAAAGAGAGGGTGCTAATCCATAGGCCCCCAAGTCCTCAAGGACCCCTGACGTTCAGAGGCTGGGACCCAGCCTGGCCACCCTCCCTTTCTCCCCCTAACTTTCTGCTGAACCCCTTGCTGGTGAAGGGCCCCCATTGTTACCAGCCGATGACCTCACCTCCTACCTCGCAGTAAAATAGCAGACGACCAACAAGAACTCCTCTTTCCTCCTAGAAACATAGGCCTTTCTTTGCAGCCACGCACTCAGCGTTTCCTCCTCTCCTCCTGTCCACAGTCTTTTCTCTGCTCCCCTGTGTTTTCCCAGTGTTGTCAATCGAACACATAACGCTGCTGATGGCGGGGGTGCACCCCCGGTCAACTCCAACCAGGAATTCAGTCGTCATGAGAGAAATCTTCTGAGAATTGCAAATGTAATCTTCTACAACCTCCCATGTAAACATAAGGAGTCAATAATTCAGTGACCTAACTGGTTTGAAAATTCAAATAAGTCGCTCTCATTGTGGTATCGGACGGAATCATTGACTAAGGGATGAATGACGTAACTGGGGTTAAACCAGTGTAGCACTGAACATTTTAGTGATTTAAGAAGGTTCCAGTCGTTTATAATTTTGAGCCTTTAAATAAGCACAGAAAGGGAAGCCTTCACTTGGCAAAGGCACATTCTTTTTGAGCTGCTAGCGCCGCACCGCGGGAACCACTGGCTCCGCGTTTTGCCAAAACGGCGCCGCGCAGTGACGCGGCTGCGTGCCCGGCCTCCGGGTTCCCACTCGTGTTCCCAGACTCTTCCTGAAACGCGGTGTGAGTCCTGCCGCTCAAACCCCAACCCACACTCCTTACCTGGGTCACTCAGGCGTGGCTGCGGGTTCTCAGGGCCATTGCCCCCCTCTCCCGGGTGCGCCCTCCAATGAACCCCAACAAGCCGTTTGCTCCCCTGGGCGGGCGGGCAGGGCCCTCACATGCGTGTGCTCTGTCGTTTTGCATCTGCTGTTCTTTCTGCCTAACTTTTATTTCTAATGAGTTTTCCTGGCACCTTTTGCTTTACTCTGCTTTTGAAACTAAGATCCATCATCAAGACTTCTGGTAGCCCCGCCAGTGTGCTCAGTGATGGAGCGCCGACCCATGAACCGGGAGGTCACTTTCCATTCCCAGTCAGGGCACAGGCCCGGGTTGCGGCTCGATCCCCAGTGTGGGGCATGCAGGAGGCAGCCAATCAATGATTCTCTCACCATTAATGTTTCTATCTCTCTCCCTCTCCCTTCCTCTCTGAATCATTAAAAATATATTTAGAAAAAGGATGCGTACCAGGATTTACATTTTACAGGTAAAGAAACAGATTCCGATACGTGACTGAGCCGGCCTGAAATTGATTTTGTCTGATATTAGGGTGGCTATGGTAGTTCTCTTTTGATTGGTATTTCTATGGCATGTCTTTCTCCATCCTTATTCTTTCAGTGTATTTTTACCTTTGAATCTAATGTGTATCTGTTGTAGACAGCACGTGGTTGGATTATGTTTTTTAACAAGATGCCAATTTCTGCCTTTAAATTGATGCATTCAATCCATTTATATTTATTGTGGTTACTGATAAGGAAGGATTTACATCTGCCATTTTGCTACTTGTTTTCTAACATCTTTTTTGTATCTTACTACCCCCTTTTGTGCCAAATGGATGTTTTTTCGGTACCATTTTAACTCATTGTCATTTATTTTTCTAGCTTTTTAAAAAATATTTTAAATTATTTTCTTATTTTGTCCTAGAGATTGAAATTTATACGTTAACTTATATTAGTCTTTTCCAAATTTATACCAACTTAATTGCAAAAGTACACAAATTTTTTTTCTTCTCTACGGGTCCATTCTCACCCGCACCTTTGTGTTGTTACTCTCGTACAAATTACAGCCTCCTTCATTGTGTGCTCATCAGCACAGATTTCTGATGATTTCTTTATGCAGTTGTCTTTTAAATAAAATAGGGGGGAGAGTTACAACAGAAAATATATTTCTTCTGTCTTTTATATTTACCTAAGTAGCTACCAATGTTAATTTTTTATCTGGATTCAAAATACTGCCTAACGACCTTTCACTGACCCGAAGCACTCCTTTTTGTATTTCTTATAGAGCATATCTCCTGTCGATGCAGTCTCTCAGTTTTTGTTTACCTGGAAATATCGTACTTTTTTCATTTTTTTTTTTGCAGGCTAGTTTTGCTGGATGTAGAATTCTTAGTTGACAGTCTTTTTATTTGGTACTTGGCAATGAGAATCTCATTGTCTTACGGCCTCCATGGTTTCTCTTGAGAAACCAGCTTTTGATCTTATTGTAGATCGCTTGCACATGAAAAGTGGCTTCTCTCTCAATGACTTTCTCTCTTTGTCTTTCAATATGTTGAAGATAATATTCTAGGTGTGGGCCTTTAGAATTTATCCTACTTGGAATTTGTGGAGACTCTGGGATGTACAGAGTAAAGATTTTTTAAAAAAATCAAATTTGGGAAATTTTAAGCCATTATTTCTTCAAATAATCTTTCTGCTCTTTTCTCTCCTCACCTTCTAGGTATCTCATTACACAGGTCTCTGAGACACTTTATGTTCTTCAGTCTCTTGTTTTTCCTTCTTCCTCAGACTGGACAATCTCAATTAATCTATCCTTAGGTTCACTGATTCTTTCTTCTGTCTAGTCTTATCTGCTGTTGAACCCCTCTGGTGAAATTTTAGTGTTAGTTATTGCGCTTTTCATTTCAATAATTTCTTCAGATTTTCAAAAACTATTTTCTGTATTTATATTAATATTTTCTCTTTGGCGAGGCATTGTTCTCATATTTCTTTAGCTCTTTAGACCCAGGTTATCCTTTAGTTCCTCAAATATATTTCAAATAATGGATTTAAAGTCTTTCCCTAGTAATTCCAATGTCAACTTTCTCAAGGACAGTTGCTATTGTTTGTTTATTTTCTTGTGCATGGATGATACTTAAATTTCCTTTGCATCATCACATATTTTTTAAATTTAAAACTGGACATGTAATGTGTCAACTGTGGAAATCAATTTCTCCTCCTTCCTCAGAATTTCTTTTTATTTTGGTTTAGTGACTTTCCCAAACATTATCAAGTCTGTATATATCATGTGTTGCCACTGAAGTGTCTCCCCTGTATTACCTTCGTGACCACCCAATGATTGGACAGATACTTTACCGAATGCCTGGCAGCTGAGTCCCTCGTGTTTGCCAGGAGCCTCTGGGTGCCTGTTGGAGCATGTCTTCCACACCCACCCAGCCAACTTCCAACTAACTCTGCCTTGGCTTCGCCTTTCCTTTCCATACCGAACCTCAAGGTCAGCCCAAGGAGAAAGCTCAGGGCCTGCTCAGGTCTCCTGGGCATGTACCTGTCACTGCATGCACATCATCGTCTAGACGCCCAGAAACAGATCAGAGTTCAGAGCCCATGTGGACACCTGTTCCCGACTGTTTCCTGTTCGCCTATTGTTTGCTCCAGTTTTTCTCCACCACCACAGGCAGCAGAAACCTTAAATAATTGCCTCTGATTATTTTCTTCAAACACCCCCCGGAGAAAAGGGTATTTTCATGGGATGAGCTCCAAGTCATGTCACATAAAGGCATCCCTCTGAGAATGGGGCTCTGATACAGCCCCACCCTGTCGTGCCCCCTCCATTGGCCTCCAGGCTCCTGGTTTCCATAGTGATTGTGGCTGTTGGATGTTAAGGTCCTCACAGAGCTGGGAGTGAGGGGTGGGGAGAGGAGAAGTTAAAATATGACAAAGCCCCCTGTTCATACCCAAGATTGAGCCTTTTTTTAAAAAAATATTATGCTCCCTAGATCTCTGCAGGCCTTTGGTTAATTCCCGTAGGTGTGCAAATGTGGATTCTGACCATTTTTGCCAGTTCCTCTTGGTTTTGCTTTTTGCTTTTGGAGGTTTTACCACATCATCTCCACTGATGTCCCTGTTACATTGTTCTTTACACTCTAAGCAGATAGATTGCTAAATGCTGGCCGGATGAAGGAAGACGCACTGCAAGCAGAATGCCCCACTCTAACCAGACACCCTCTGACCGTCTCTGTCCTCCTCCCGTCTGTTTCAGGACTATGACGATGGCTATGGCACCGCGTATGATGAGCAGAACTACGATTCCTACGATAACAGCTATAGCGCCCCGGCCCAGAGGTAAGAGCCGCCTCTGGGACCCCGTCACCGACACTGCCCTCCCCGCGTCTGCTCCGGGGGAAGGATGGGGGTGGCCGTCCCGGGAGGGTAGTCTGACTCGGCTGCTCTGAATGGTGTTTGGTTTAAATGCAGCATCACTGTCTGTCTACCAACCAGCATGTCTACCTCCTCTGCAACCTACTGTAGCTTTAAAGCAATGTGGTTTGGGCCCAGTTGGTGTGGCTCAGTGGTTGGGTGTTGACCTAGGAACCAGGAGGTCACAGTTCGATTCCCGGTCAGGGCATATGTCCGGGTTGGGGGCTCCATCCCCAGGATGGGGCATGCAGGAGGCAGCCGATTGATGATTCTCTCTCATCATTGATGTTCCTATCTCCCTCTCCCTCTCCCTTCCTCTCTGAAGTCAATAAAAAAATATTTTTTCTAAAAAGGCAATGCGGCTTGGGAGATAAAAATTGAAATTTTATTCGCTCTGAGGATTTAACCGCTTAGCATATTCTGAGGAGGAACAGTGTCTGTGGAGTCTGGTTACTCAAGTCCTGAGGCCCCAGATCACATGAGAAACATGTCAGCACCCTGCACTGTCCGTGCCTGGGGAGGGAGCACGAGGTTTGGTTTGTATTCACGGAACCTTTCCATTTCGCAGCAGACGCCTTCCGGTCTCTAAGAATCTCAGGTTCCTGGTAATAATGAGTGGGTTCCCATTCGTTTTCTGAAGAAGTGTTTATTCAGAAATACATGTTATTGGAGGCAAGAAAGAGCTTTAAAATTTCCTCTTCTGATGGTATACCTGGTTGTTCATTGATATTTGAAATCAGTGTTTATTCTGTTCAGAATGTTTTCCTAAATGCCTAGAAACCTCTCGCTTTATATTTGAAATTCTAAGTGGAGAATAAAGGCAGACAAACACAGAAGAAAACATTGGCGCTGTGAAGCATTAACACTAGGGACCATGTGGTCATTCTGACGGAGCATAAATTCACTTTTGAGCTTAGATGGGTTACCAGGCAAGGTTGTACTTGTTCATCCTGATCCCGAGGCTGACGGTGATTTAAAAGTGTATTTTCTTCTTGCTCTTGCCAAGTTTTCTTCTTATATAATTTGTAAGAGTTAAGTAGCCTTCAGACTTTGTCAGCTGGTCCTTTTATTTAGTGGAAGCCTCACCCGGCCGGCGTGGCTCAGTGGTTGAGCATCGACCTATGAACCAGGAGGTCACGGTTTGATTCCCTGTCGAGGCACATGCCCGGGTTGCGGGTTCCATCCCCAGTGCGGGGTGGGCAGGAGGCAGCCGATCAATGATTCTCTCTCATCGATGTCTCTCTCTCTCTCCCTCTCCCTTACTCTCTGAAATCAATAGAAATATATTAATTTAAAAAATAGGTTCATTTAGTGGCAGCCTGGTGCACGGTGTCTGTGTCCTTGAGGTCGTTAGCGCACTTGTGCTGGCTGGCCCCAGTGTCTTCTGGGTAAGAGCTTACACAGATATCTCACTGAAGGCCCAGCAGCTTTATGGAGAGTGTGGGGCTGTATCGACGAAGAAAGGGGACACGGTATATAAGTAAGCCCTCAGGTCAGTAGGTCAACTCACTAGATGCAGAAAGAATTAGGGAGCGTCAACTCCTACTCAGCCTTTCAAATGTTCTGTTCTGTGTATGAGATATAACTGGTTAGTATTATAGGACACATGTCACACATGCACAGTGACAGTTACCAGCTCACCCACAGCCTTCTGTCTGAGGCCCAGACACACGTGGGGCGGAGGCTCTCTCTGGAGCACACCTGCGCCTTTCCTGCCCTTCCCCCTCCCCCAGGCCTACACTAGACTTGCTTTCTCTCCCGAGCTCCAGGGGCCCTTCTTCTGCCGCTGTAACCTGAGTCCTGCGCCCATGCAGCCCAGTTGGCTCACTTTTCCACGGCTCACTTCTCCTACCTCTGTGTCCAAATGAACGTTTACTTGTACCAAAAAAAGCTGTGGACCCGCGCCATAGAGGTGGGGAGTCTGCAGACCTGCACTTTGGTCCCACTTTAACGCTGACTGCGGGGGTGACCTTGGGCAGTGGCTTCGCCTCTAAACGCCCCAGCTCGTGGGCGGTGGGACTTAGTTCTGTGCTTGAGGGCGGCCTGAAGGTTGAATGAGACAGGCAAGGCCACAGCCCCTGCCAGGCAGGTGGAGGTCGTCGTCTGCGTGGGGACGAGCAGGTAGAAACGACTTTCGCCCTCACAGACCCGAGCCGCCGGGCCCCGATCCCTCACAGAAGTCATACTTTCTTCCCCAGAAAGCCCTTTGGAAAGGTATTCATTTCACTCTAAGCCGAATGGAATGAATTTTCCTTTGCTGTCTTACTTGTAACCCTGATGACAATCACCGTTCGCAGTGGGGCGGCTCCAGTTCATACAACGCTGGGCTGAAGGCTGGAAATGGGCTCAGAGAGCGGGATTCAGGGGCACTCATCACTCGGAAAAGGTAACGGAGGGAGAAGGCATGTGGCTGAGCTTGGCTCTCTGTATATCAAGTCATTACGTTCCCACTTATACACAATAACCACGTCACTCTGTCTGTAAATCGAATCGTGTTTACACTTATGTACAATTTTTATTTTTAAAAAATCACGGTATTTTGGTCTATGCTTCTGAAGAGTGTAAGTTCTCCGAGGAGATATTTGATTCCTCTAGTGACCATAAAGAGGGTGGAACAAAAGGGTTTCACACACATGCTAACCCCCCCCCACACACACACACCTGGGATGAGCGTGTGCCAAGGGCATTAGTGTCTGCACGGGGTCACGCTGACAAGCTAATTTCCCACCGCACAGTGTGGTTTGACCATATTTTCAAGTACATACTTCATTTTCGTCCTCCAAAATCGCTGTGATTTTCATGAAAACACTTCAAATGGCTGAAGGAAGGGAATTAGGAGTAATAGCTGCCGTTCTGGAGAACCGTCCAGCCCCCGCCCGGCGGTCTGCGTCCTCTTGTAGAGGATCTCGTGTTTGCATCGTGGCCCTGCACGCGGGTGCCCCTCAGGGGAGCTGAGGGTGCGGTGTCTCCAGGGTCACAGCCGAAGGGCCCTAAAGCGAGGCTCTGTTGGACCCCAGACACTGTGCCCCAGGGAGGAGACGGGTCTCAGTGTGAAGCCACTGGCTTTCGCGACAGACGCGGCCAGATCCCCCGGCCCGCCAGGCAGGGACGGAGGCCGGAGCCACGGCGCCCCGTGTGCCTCAACGCCAGTGCCAGGAGAGCGACAGGCGGGCTCCTGCCCTGGGCTCCAGCGCATTGTCGCTGCTGTTGGCAGCTTTCGCAAGGCACGTCCGGGGAGACCTCCCCAAGAGAGGGCCCGTCTAGCTCTGAAAATACTGGGGATTTCACTTTGGAAGCGGTAACCTGCTATGTAAGATGCAGCCGTCTGCACGCGGGAAAGCGACTTATTGGAAGACGCGGCGGCGGTGTGTCAGGGTTGGCTGTTCTGCACGTTCAAAGGCCCGTGTGGCTCAATTGGTGGCGTCCTCTGGTGCACCTGCAGGTCTCTGGTTCGATTCCCCGTCAGGGCACATGCCGAGTTTTGGGCTCAGCCCCAGTAGGGGGCGTGCAGGCGGCAACCAGTCAATGTTTCGCTCTCATATCTGTGTTTCTCTCTCTCTTTTCCTCCCCCTTCCTCTCTCTAAAATCAATTGAAAAACATATTTTTTTAAAAGCGATAAAGGCTGGGCCTGGATTGAGAGCCTGTGACCAGGCCTTATAACATTTTTGTCTAGCGTCCTCTCACCTGGCTTGGTCGTTTGGGGTTTTGGCTACTTTCCGCACGAGGACTGGAAGGAAGCTCTCAGCAAATCTAAGCAGTGAGCTCTCACCAAACGCATCCTTGTCACCCAGGGTTACGCCCCCATTGACCGGAAACGGGGACCCCAGCCCAGCGTACATGTGACCCTGTGAATGCCTTTGTTCTCCACAGGGACCCCGCAGTAAACAGGAAGGAAGGGGCGATGGTGAGAAAGCTAAGCTACAACCTGAAGGGACAAAGGAGGGACCAGCCGCGGCCGGAGCGTTGCCGTGGGAGTGTGGCTGTGAGCGGCCGTCCCTGTGTCTGGCCCCCGGCTGCTGCCTGCGGGTGGCATCAGGGTAAATGTGTGCGAGAGGGCGTAGGTGCAGGGCACACATCCCCTCTGGTCTAAATGTTAACCTTAAAGCTGGGATCTCATTCCCGTTTTCCTCTTGGAAAAACAGGTACAGGGAGAAGCACAGGTGCCCGCGTTGCCCGTCATGGCTCTGTTGACTTCCGCCCGTTTTCTTCGCGCCGCTGTGGTTCAGCGGGCACGCGTGTCGTCCAGGGACTGGGAACCAGGACTGGGCCCCACCCTCCGTGTCAGAGCCCCCCTGCTAAGCTGACCCTCCACTCGACGGGAAATAACGCAGGGCCTTTCCGGCGGTGTTCCGTGACGCGGTTCCAGGTGGTGCCAGGCCGGCTTGGACAGTGTCGGTGATTCGGCTTTAACGCGATTGGGAACGTGTAATGAGCACACGAAGCACTTGATGCTGGGACTGTTGTTGCTGTAACTCAGTTACGATAGATTGAAGTGGAAATGCAGTCAGCGTGGAGAGTGTTTTGGATTCGGCAGCAGGAAGGGGCGAGCCGGGGGCGTTTTTTCGGGGGGGGGGTGGTCCCCCAGCCTGACGTCTGGCCGCGCTGGGCTCACATCCGTGCCCCTCGGTCCTGGGTCGGCTGCGGGGGCCAGTTTGATCCAGGGACTGGGAACCAGGACTGGGCCCCACCCTCCGTGTCAGAGCCCCCCTGCTAAGCTGACCCTCCACTCGACGGGAAATAACGCAGGGCCTTTCCCAGCTTCACCGGGAAACTCCTCAGACTCCAGCTAGCAAGGGAGAAACACACTTCTAAATGTTTCATTCCGTTAGCAAACTTAGAAAAAATAAAAATCCTATTGGGCACTTTCGAGGCAGCAGGTGTCCAATACGCAGCAGGTCAGCAAACCTGTAAGTGAGGTCTCCTG